CCCCCTTCTGATTTCCCGGACACCTTCCCCCCTCACCCACTATCCTTAGTCGAGGCTCTTTTCTGAAAACCCCCCTGGCCGTCGGTCAAGAATCACCCCCTGTGCCCCCCGGGGTAGCAAAAGATTCTGCAACAGCTCCGAGTCTTTGCAATGTTTGCATGTCTGTACCATGGGTGTTCTTCAGATTTAGAGTAGGCAGCGCAGTCACATCTGAAGAAGTGCTTAATCTGGCGGCCAAATCAGGGCTGAAGAGATGTCTCTGTTTTGCTGTTCTCCCGGTGCCCCCTGAAATGCTTATCATCTGCTTTCCCTGGTATGCGGGTCAGGGTTTTGGGGGATTCCTTTTCTTACAAACCTGCACAGTCAATCCTCCGGTTTCCAGAGTAATCAATGCTGGCTGGCTGCCCTTAACCTCCCTTCCTGGTATTTTCCAGATCTTTTAGATTCACTCTGTATATGGGACGCTGGACCCGTTTTCCAGCAGGTGATGCTCCCCACCAATAGATGGAGTCTCTCTCGGGTGCTAGTGGTATCTGCTTCTACCAGTACCACTAGCACTACAGGGTGTGTGTTTAAAAAAAGAAAAGAAAAAAAAAGAAAAGGCTCCAATCTATTTCATGGGGAGCAGCATATGCTGGGAACTGGGCCCAGCGTCCCAAAATAGAAATAGAAACTTGCCAGATTGAACCCACAAGGGCCACAACAGGAAATCCGGACAGCATTGATGGCCCTGAGAGGAACACCGCAGGCGAGGTCCCACTACCAAAGGGGATTGGATTGAGCTCCTGAATCTGGATTTGTTTGATGCACAGATGCAGAAATGCGGTTCAATCTCGATTTTCTGCACCTCTCCAGGAAATCGTCCAGATTCGGGCATTCAATCCAATCCTCTTTGCCGGCAGGGATGTACTGTCTACAACTGACAATCTGAAATTAAAAATAAACGATAATGCTTTGGCTCCACATCCTTACCAGTACATGGGCACCTGGGCCGTGGGCCTGACACGGGGCCCACCTCGAATTCCAGAAGCCCGAAACGAAAACGCGACCGCCGATCCAATTCATCAATGGGAGCAGGCCCAGCAATAGACGTTTATGTTCATAATAGCAAAAGAAAAACTACGTGGCCACAAAGATATCATGGCCTGAGTTTGAAAAGGCAATTTTTGGGTTGAAAAGAATCCGTCGGGCAATTGTTTTTTTTTTTTTTGTGCCTTTGCCTTTGCCCGACTGAACCCTACCCGGGGCTAAGATAGACTAGCATCGTTTAAAACGGAGTGTGGTGGTCTTTTCTCATTTAAAAACGCATAAATAATGCTATTTTTCATTTACATTAATCATGTGACGAATGCAAAGAAAGGGACCCAAAAAAGAAAAATCACGGGGCCTGACATAGACATCATGACAGTACAGGCTGTGCATCCAGACTTCGCTGTGCATCCACACTCCGCAGTATTGCATGCGACCTTCCCACCGGCCTGTTCGCAGTCTTCCACGAAAATCTCAATATTCTCTATTTCTGAACAGGAAAAAAGCACGGCGCGAAGCTTCAAAAACACCCCCCCGCCAAAGAAAAACCATAGAATTGAAGCTTCGCCCCAACACAAAGTGGGCAACTAAATGGCCAACAAATAAATTTAAAATTTTCCTACTGGCCGATGGGCAGCTGCCTCCACGAAAACGAAGACAAACGACACTTAGCAGTCGATACAAAGTACGATCAATGACTTACACTGCATTTGTCACGGACGACCGCACATGATTCGAAAACCACAGAGCACAAGCGTAAATCAGACCTACTCGGTCCAAGCCCCCGGCCAGTACATCTCAGAGAGAGATAATGACTAGAAATTTGTAATTGGCGGATGAACAACTCCGCACTAAAAAAAAAAGAAGAAAAAAAACAAACAAAAAACCCTACCCCACCTGACACCACTGTTGTTGGTACTTTCATTGCTGTTTAGAACTCGGCGCCTGTTTTCTTTGTCAGCACATGTTTTTATTGGTCATTCTGTAGTCAGAAAAAAGACATCAATGTACTCGCCCCAAAAATTAAAAAGAAGTGAGAGGAAAGAGGGCCGCGCGAAAAACAATGAAGCGGCGATAGCGGCGGTGGCGGAACCCGGTTGTCGGCTGCGGTTGAGCAGGATGCAACGTTTGAGCATGTGGAAGATGATCTTCTCCACGAGGCGCCTACCCTGCCAGGCACCATAGCTGCGTGAGAGCTATGGCGACAGTGCCCTGGCGTAGCCTAGCCCTTGAGTGGGTTAGGGAGTGCCTTTGCACTCTTACGCCAAGGCATCCTCGCAGCTCCGCACCTGACCTCCATACCAGCCTTCATACCTAACAGGATCTCGACACCAGGGGAGTAGTCCTCCCCTCAAGCCTTTAGCTGGAAAGGGGGGGCTCCTTTCTCACCATCCAAAGGCCGTGCGGCTTACTTTCATGACACGCCATCTCGAGAGCCTCAATTTACTAGGAAAAGCATGGAAGGCGGAGCGGCGCAATTGGACGCAGTGGGAGAGCGTGCGGCTGCGGTGGCAGCACTTCGACATGTCCAAGAGCTTCAGCAAGTCTCGTTTGACCCATCTACAACACAAGGCAGTCTGAAAGGAGGGAATAAAGCGCCCTGCGTCCTGGCACTATGAGGAGTGGCGCTGTGATGCATCTAGATATGCGTTTAACTTAGTAATTCTGTAAGTCTTTTCTGCACATCTTGTATGCATGTAGGCACAGTTTAGGTTAGTTTCGGTAATTCAGCAGGCCTTTTGCTCGTGCATCTAGTCGAGTGATTGCCCGTCTTCCTTACATCCTTTGTGCATTTACCTCATGTTCTGATGAGCCTTGTGATCCCTTCTTTTTCTCACTTAATTTGATTCTCTTTGGTCACAGTTCCTGTGAATGGTTACATATAAGGTTGCTTTTAGACTCTACATATTTTGAGTGAGAAAGATAGTCAACCACGGAGTACACTTAGTTGATATTAGGAAGGTCTTGACATTCTGCCTACCGGGACACACTGAAGTTTATTTTCTGAAAGTGGTAGTTCTTTAAGCGCAGGAAACAGTGATGCTGGGTCACCAAGTATGCCTTGAGTGGTGTGGGGAGTGTTCTACACTCGATCTGTGGTCATCCTGGGAACTGCTGCTCACATCTTCAGCACTCACATACTAATGGTAGAATCTGGGAAATCAACATGATGAAGGGACGAGACCTCAGCTGGGTACGCAAAACCTTGAAGACCAATGGGCTGCGGCGCCATCAGCGGGAATGGGAGACTCACTAGTGGCGGTGGGAATGTTTCCCGGGCGCAAAGGGTAAGACATTTCCCAGCCATAACGGCGTTTGGAGACGCAGTGACGTTCACGTTCTAGAAGTGGCTGATCTCCAAGAGCAGGAAAAGGGACACAGGGTCGCCCATGCCTTGAGTGGTGTGGGGAGTGTACTACGCTCGACTTTGTGCCATCCTGGAAAAGCCGGCTCATATCTTCCCCACTCGTATATTCTGTGGTCATGGTTATCCACCTCTTCCTCTCTTTGAATTCCCTTGGACTCTCTATATGTGGCCATTCTCTTGGCTGTTTCCAATGGTCCATTTTATGTCAACAATATTAATGCGCCCGGCTTCAATATCTCGTCAGGATCTAAGAATTTAGCACGCACTTGGACGTAATTTTAGAGTTGATGTCTATCTAAGAATTTAGCACGCTCTCTTCCTCGTGCATTCTCGAGATTTGCGGTTTATAGCTCATAGTTCTTTTGCCAATGGTGTCTCAATCTTAGAAACATGCCATGCCTCCCTGAGTAGCAAGGATACTGTACTGTCACAGATTTTTTGCTTTGCAATTTTTTCCTTTTTCTTTCTGGAGATTCGTCTAAGGGACACTGGACCCGGTTTCCCCGGCCCGGTGGTCTCGTTTGGAATGAAAAGTGCTATGTTTCTCCAAAAAAAAAAAAAAAAAACGCGCAATATCAATATACGTAGAAGGTTTAAAAAAAAAAACAAAAAAAAAAAAAAACAAAGCGGAAATAACTCCTCACCTTGATCAGTAAGAGTGGCAAAACACTCTCCGCCCACCCTCTCGCCCGCCACCCCACCCGACCCAAAAAAAAAAAAAAAAAAAAAAAAAAAAAAAAAAAAAAAAAAAAAAAAAAAAAAAAAAAAAAAAAAAAAAAAAAAAAAAAAAAAAAAAAANAAAAAAAAAAAAAAAAAAAAAAAAAAAAAAGGGAAAAAAGTGGTTCGTAGGTAAGGCAACGGATTGACGACGCAAAACAAATCGAGAAAGTAAAATAAAACAACTTGAGAAAATCCCGATTAAGAAAAGGAAAAAAATAAAATAAAAAATAAAATAAAAAATCCTTTGGCAACGTACACTCACACTCAACTTCGAACTCTATGTATCAATAGAATTCCAGCAATGGTAATTTTCTCAAGAGACGAAGAATGAACTAAGCACGGTCAACGTGCAATCACGGTGAAACTTCAACGAACTTTCACGGACTTCATCAAAGACAAAGTACAGCAGGATTGGCCTCCCCCACCTACGCGGCCGCTTTTCCACGACCGCCATCGTCATCATCGAGGGGGTAATAACCTCCAATGTCATCTCCGTCGTCCCAAGACCTTCTCTCCAAAAACGACCACTCTTCCGTACAAGCACTCCGTACAACACCCCGTGCAAACACTCTTCCGTACAAACACTCCGTACAAACACTCTTCCGTACAAACACTCCGGAACGTTAAGAAGTCGTAGATAGCAAAAGTCCTGTAAGAAGATGGGGGAAAAAAGAAAAAAAGAAAAAAAAAAGTCCTGCAATTGGATTTCGTATTACAAAATCAACCGCAGGTGCCGAAGACAACCCACCTCTCTCCTCTCCATGACACGTGTTTGTCTGAAAGGGGGCCGGGGTCCCGATGACGCCACCAATCGATCAATAGACCAATCGATCAATTAACCAATCGATCAATCGGTCAATCATTTCCTGAAACACTTTCTTTCCTGATCGACCACAATAGCATTGCCTGAATAGGAAAACATGTCCTGTCTCCAACACGACACCTGTACGATGCCCGTCATCTCTCGCAGAAACGCCTAACGGCGGATCCAGTGTCCCGACCGTCGCTTTCCAAAGACGTACACGTCAAATGGCGCTGACTTCAAAACAACCCTCTCTCTCTCTCTCTCTCTCTCTCTCTCTCTCTCTCTCTCTCTCTCTCTCTCTCTCTCTCTCTCTCTCTCTCGCTCGCTCTGTGTGAATCACTCACGCGTTTACATTATGTTAACTATAATTGTAATCATAGTTATAATTATTATTATCGATATAACTATAATTATTGTTATAATTATGATTATCGCTATCAATGTAATTCCCATCATCATCGTCATCATCATCATCATCATCATAATCATCATCATAATCATCCAACATCATCCTCTTAAATTCGTCGAACGAGATAAGGTTGTCGTCATTCACATCGGCGTCCACGATCATCTTGATCGCATGGTCCTCCGGATTCGGCTGCCCGACCTTTGCCAACACGTGCTGAAGCTCGTCGACGGACAGAAATCCGCTCCCATCACGATCGAGCTGGTTGAAAAGCTGTCGAAGAAATTTTTCTTTGCTGTCCGCATCTCCGTGCTTGAAAAACATGAGTTTAGAGAACTCAGCGAAATCAATCTGGCCATTGTCATCGGTATCGAGGTCTTTGATGAGACCTTGGATTTCTTCATCACTTCTTTCCATGCCCACTTTTAGCATGAAGTCGTTGAGCTCCTTCTTGGAGATGAACCCGTCGTTGTCGGTGTCTATCATGCTGAACGCCGCCTGCATTGCTGCCGCCTACTCGTCCCGGAGATCGCTGATGTTGTTCGCACAAGGATACACACAACCAGAGGCCGAGATCACACCCAACGGCCCTTACACACAAGAGAGAGAGAGAGAGAGAGAGAGAGAGAGAGAGAGAGAGAGAGAGAGAGAGAGAGAGAGAGAGAGAGAGAGAGAGAGAGAGAGAAGGATGATGGCGATAACCCTCAAGGAGTGCTGTCGTCTATTGGCTTGAGCATCAGGAGGGTTGCTAACAACGACAAATAGCCGGGGAGATCAGTCGGTGGAGGTTATCTACGCTTATATAGATGAGACCCCACGGGCAAAGTGGATCTCCCGGTTATTTGTCGTTGAGACCCCACTGTTTGCGCTGTGATTCATTCAATTCAATTGAAAAAGGATTGAATCAGATGTGTTCGTGGGAAGAGACCCCACGGGCACAGTGGATCGGAATTCGAAGCTGAATCTGGATGGGTTCTAGGCAGAGAGGCAGAAAGCATAGCAATGGGCCAATGGCCATTTTCTGCACCTGTCCATAAGCGCGTCCTGATTCAGGTTGAAATCCCACCCTCGTTGCTGCAAACAGTGGATCATTGAGATAGCTCCCCTCCACAATCCCCCCCCCCACCCCCCCCCAACCAAAAGAAAAAGAAAAGAAAAAAAGGTATCTTCCAGGCAGTTGAGAAGCTATTTTGTTTCCCGAAAAAAAAAACGAAAAAAAAAAAAAAAAAAAAAAAAAAAAAAAAAAAAGAAAAAAAAAAAAAAAAAAAAAAAAAAAAAACGAAAAAAAAAAAAAAAAAAAAAAAAAAAAAAAAAAGAAAAAAAAACGAAAAGAAAAGGAAGCTATTTTGTTTTACTCATCATGTCCCATCATCATCTAGATTAGAACCCGGGTTAATTTCAAAAATATTGCTGTTTCGAAGTTTGGCAGCAAAAATGTCGTCCTTCGAAGTTTCCTTTGCAAAAATAGAGGTTTCGTTGCAGCCAGCAAAAATAAAAATACATAGTTCCCATAGTTTGCCAGCCAGCAAAAATGAAAATACAGCGTTTTGCCAAGTTTCACATCTGATTCGAAGGACCCCTAGGCCCCTGGCCTCAGGGACTCAGGGACTCAGGGACTCAGGGACTCAGGGACTCAGCGTTCTGGCCTCAGGCACTCAGCTTTTCTCTTTTTTTTTTTTGCCGAATGTAGCGCGTGCTGCTATTCCATTAGGAATTAAGTCAGTTGAAGTGAGAATCAAAGGTTTAGGTTATGGAAAGCCTTCGGCCTTACGTGGTTTACAATTAGGAGGTCTTATTATAACCAAGATTAGCGATGTAACTCCAACGCCACATAACGGATGTCGTCCTCCTAAGAAACGCCGCGTATAATATCATATCATCGCTTCTGAGGATTGGCGGCCGTGGCCACGCCCTAGACCACGTTTCTTGTTTTTTTTTTTTTTTTTTTTTTGCGCGGCCGTGGCCGAGGCATCATTTGGCCGTGGGCAAGCCCAGATGCGTGGGCCATGCCCGGAAAAAAAAACAAAGAAAAAAAGAGAAAGAAAACAGCGCTGAGTGCCTCAGGCCAGAAAGCTGAGTCCCTTAGTCCCTGAGGCCAGAGGTCTAGGGGTCCTTTGCTGTGAAACTGGGCAAAACGCGGTATTTTTATTTTTGCTGGCAAGCTATGGGAACCCGATAAAGCTGCAACAAAACGTCTATTTCTGCAGAGGAAACTTCGAACGGACGACATTTTTGCTGCAGAACATCGAAAAAGCAAGATTTTTGCTATTAATCCTTCCATAACGGGTCTGTATCTCAACAGTTCATTTGTGTGTACCCACTGAGCTACGCTCTCGGGTTCAATTTATTTTTTCGCCCCCCCCCCCTGCGGCATTGCGCGTTGCCTAGCCAAAACCGTGCCTTTTTTTGCTCCCC